AACAGAGTAACGACTCGTAGCGGGAAAACATTTAACAACAAGCGCCGATGGAGTTTCTCTACCGTCGTCTTCGCTGCTAATGCTACTATTCGCTAAGACCCGCCCCCGCCCTGCTACGCTGTCACAACATCCTGGTATTCAATATTTTAAATGTAAATTAAAGTTGATCGTTAAGTTTGTGAGAACGGAAGAAATGTTGGTTCTAGTTACGAAATTACTGAACACTTTGGAAGCATTAAAGTAAAAAGAAAATGTCCAACGCTATCAAATTGGAACAATACCCAGCGGTAATCCAGTTTACTTGATAACAGTAAAATGGAAAGTCCATAAAAGGTCGAAGGAAGTGGGTGGCGGGAAGTATGCCCAAATATGGAAAGCATGATATCACCGAGATTAAGTCAGCTTTAAGAAAAAAGGTGAAAAACTGGTGAAACATTCCAACAACTTTGGTGTACAAGATGGTCCATAACCAGCTGGTCTGCAGGTTTATGTCTGGTGAAAGAATAAAATATGTTCATCTGCAGAGTGGTTTGGAGACTCCAGTAGATTTCTACCTTCATAGAGGTTAAGTGTTGGGAAAGACGATCCTGAGCTTCATTCTGGCCCAGATCTGGACAGCTTGTCCTCCAACACAAGGAGGTAAATATATTGTTTTTCTATTATTTGATTTAATTCTGACATGTCAAAATACCAGAAAGACAAAAAAAAAAAAAGAAAATAAATCACAAAAACAAAAAGTGTTCCTCCCATTCTATTGGTTGGAGACTTTCGGCACAATAGCTCCACAGAGATCCGAGCACAAATCCGACAGAAGCGATCTGCTCGTGAGGAGAACCGAAGCCCAGAACAGCATCATCTGAACGTAGAGTTTGGAGCAGCACTCGAGCAGCAGCTACTTGAGAGGAAGGTCGAGGTTTGAGGGAAAGCGAAATAGCAAAATAAATAAAAAAAAACCCTCAATCTGAAAGACACACTCTTAATTAAATGACTCTGAAGTGAGCAGGAGCAGCTAAAATGAATACGCTGAGTCATCATCCGCTTTCCAATTTACTGAATATGATGTGGTGGTCGTTATATTCCGATACCGTCATCCCTATCTTCCTCTTCTTCTTCTCTTCCTGTTTCATTAGTTCCTCCAGAGCCGGAGGCCTTAACCCACATCGCACACACACACTCTTCATACATATAAGCCGTCTTTTGATCTGCATCAGTGCGACAGCTTTAATGGTGATTTCTTACGGTCTAAATAACACTTTGACTTGATTCCTTCTCCTTGTCCGTGTGGGAGTTTATCGCCGTCCTGTGCACGGTAGTAGATTAGCTGTATATATATATAACCCTGTGCATTATCTCTATGTCTGTCTTGAGGCAGCCTGAGCACGTTTTCGGTACAGTATTCTGAACAACTGTCCTACCCAAAGACCCTGAAGGCACCACGTCAAAGTAAATACAGCATGAGTCATTCTCAATCTGCCTGATTGACTGACTTACATGCATCCTCGCTTTCTTCCTCCTCTTCACTTCAAAGAACATTTTCCTTTATTTCTGACTTTGCTGTGCTTTGTCCCGTCCCTCCTCTCCCCGACATACATGCCTCCCTTTATCCATCCGCTCCTCAGATAATTCTACATCCCATTTGTTCTGAATCCTTCACGTCTGCCTCCCTTTGTGACTCCCTCACAGACTTGTCTTCCTTCCTTTCTGGTCTTTTTTTTGTTGCCTCCTGTCCTCCTTTCAACTCGAGGCCTGCATCTGGATCGATAAAGGGGAGGTGAGCGAGCAGTCGGCCTTTACAGCGGCTTCATTGTGTCATGTGCAGAAGCACTTAAAAGGGAATAAAGACAGTGAAGCCGAAAAGGATGTCTGTGTTTTGAAACCTTCATTCCTTCTCGTTCTTGGCCTTTCTGTTTTCTGTATTTCTCTCTGTGTTGTCCTTTCTCATCCTTCCACTCTTTACTGATTTATTCCCATCAGTTTCTAAAGCTCAGTGTCTCCCACCTCTGAATATTTGCCTTACTTGCCTACTTGCTCTGTCTTAATCCTCCCCAGCCGGTTTGAGAGGTACATTATTTAATGGATATTTTGCTTTCTGACGATCCTGACATGCAGTTCTGTTGGACGAACTGACTAAATCAAAGCTTAAAATTGCGATATTTCATCTAATTCATTCTACTCTTCACGTCTAATTAAAAAAAATCATCAGAAATAAATAATTTGCACCAGATTCTGTGAAAACCTAAAGATTCTGCACTTATTGGCAAAACCAAGAAGCCATATTTACTCAGCTGTGCCCAACGAGGACAAAATCAGGAACTATTCTGCTGAACTGCAAGTATGGAAACAATTTTGAATTTTCCCTTGTGTATCAGTAACAAATGCAAGATTATTTTTATTATTATTATTATTATTATTTTAGGTTTTCCCAAGATTATAAAATAAACAATCAAATATATTAAACTTTTAGACTTTTGTTTTGATCATTTATTAACATATAACTTTGTTATATTAACCCTATCCCAAACTTTTGGGGTCTTTTGGACTCCAGGCCATTTGGTTTATGTGACAGGTATTGTTATTTTATTGAACTTTTTATTTTTTATTTTTTTTAAATATAAAAAGAGGGACATTTGTCATGCATTTGGAACCAAAAATACGTCAACTTATCAGAAAATGTATTTAACATAGTATAAAAGTCTGTAATGAATACCAACACATATTTTGCACATATTCTTTCTTGAGGCCCAGTGGACTCCCAAAGACCTTCTACGTACGGCAACATGAAAGTCCTGAATAGAGTTAAATAAACAACATTGCTGATTTCTCTCTCCTTCTAGTCATGGCTGTGCTGTTTCCATAGAGGTGCAGGACTTTACATTGCAGTGGAAAAATTAGCTGCATAAGTTAATTAAAAACAAACAAAAAACAGTGCCCAGAAAATGCTTGGGGTTCAGAGGGTTAAGCCTCATCTTATGATCCAAAAACTCTGGATCAGACTTTAAACAAATAAAAATGATTGCACTGTTGGACATGATGTTAAAGTAACAGAGTATTTTAAATTCCTGTTTGTCTTTTAGGGTAATAAAACCATGTGGGTATTATCACACAATAAAAATGGATGTCTTCTATATTTTCTGTTTGTATAAAGAATTTTCTACCAAAAACAAAAACTAATGAAAGTCTATGATCATGAACCTGATGTACACTATTTGTGATTTTATGTGTTTATTTAGTTAAATAAACTTGTGGTGGGATGATAACTTTTGACCAACACCCAACATCATTCAGGTATACACATTTAAACCACTATGAACCCTCTCAGGCTCAGTTTGCTTAGTGTCTTGTACCAAACTCTTCTTGTTTCCCAATCCAGTGGCTGCTGAAACTCTTCATTGAGCAACTTTATAGCATGTAGCACTCAATCTGACAAAGACGCTGGTAGAAGTACAGCAGCTCTGATTCGTTGCTACCTGTCTGGTGGTCCTGTAGATACACGACCCGATGGGTTAATCCACCAAATTTAGCTTCAGTCTGAATAGTTACAGGAGATTACGCCACAGACAAACTCCTGAGTGCTGCTACAACTCTTCCCAGATGTTCCTGCGCTCCAATTAGTAGGCGTGTTAATCTGTGTTGTGCAAATGTGTGTCAGATGCAGGCGACCAGAGCTCGAGGGGAACACCAAGGAGACGGTGGTGCGTTTCACACTCGTTATTTAAAGGAAATGAGATAAGAAAATGTGTGAATGACTTAAAGCGTTGAGTCGCGCACCTTGTTGCACGTCGGTGGTCTCAGTGAACTCCATGTGATGTGTGGTTTTATTGTTCTGGCGTGGCTTGAATTTGGTTGTTAATTAAAGTTAGTTAAAGTGATTTCTATTCGCAAGAAAACAGTGAGTCCGACTGGTGATATTGAACTAGTCGACACTAAACAACTAATGAAGGCACTTAGTTAATTACTGAAAATATGTGGACTGAGGTTAAACTAAGTCCAGTTCATGAACCAAGTTGCAAAAATGTAAATGTATGTTTACAGAAACAAAACAGAAAGTGGAATCAAGAGAGAGATAGGCTACTAGAAGTAATAAAAAAAATGCTTTTTTGTGTAACTGGCAATGTTTAATTAGTCAAAACTAAACTACTAATGAAAGCACTTGTGAATAATTTGACTGAGATGTGAAATTACTGTAAATATATGAAATGATGTTAAACCGAGTTCATTAGATTCAAGCTGAATAGATGTAAACATGCATATACAGCGTGATATCGAAGGTTAATAAAACACAGGGACTGACGAGAGACGGATTAAAGTGAGAAATCTGCTTATAGAAGTAATTTTTTTGGTCAAAACTAAACAACTAACGAAGGCATTAAGAAAACATTTTTGTTAAAATGTGAAATTACTCTAAATATATGGATTGAGTTCAGCTAGATTCACGTACCAAGAACAATAAAAGAAAAAAAACAAAACAGGAACTGATGAGATAAGGATTAAAGTGAGAGATATTCTCCTACAAGTAATGAAAAACTGTGAATAGAAGCAGGATTTAATAAAGGGACCAACAGGACCGGAGGTATGGAGGCAGATCGTTGATGTGGTTTGATGGACATTAAGTAAAACAAAAAATACACCTAACATCTATGGCAGAGGAAAAACAGTTAATAAAACAGCAAGAGAAGGAAAGAAAATGTATAAATGAAATATAGGTTTTTAAACACTGCTGATGATAACGGAGTGAATCCCTCAGAGAAAAGAAAGATGAGAGGTCTGACTGCGTCCTCACGGTGAGGAGGAAGAGGTCCAACAGTGGAATGAATAGCGTTTTCTATTTGTGCTGAATGGTATCGATTGTCTGGGAGAAGATGAGTCTGGACTTGTGTGTGTGTGTGTGTGTGTGTGTGTGTGTGTGTGTGTGTGTGTGTGTGTGCAGGTCTTGTTGTTACGTAACAATGCGAAACACGTTACTCGTATGCATGTGTCTATGGACTGTGTTTGCCTCTTACCTCCACCAGGTGTGGCGTCGGGTTGAAGCCGCACAGGTTGCACACTTGGCTGTGGCACTGCGTACACGAGTTGTAGTTGGGCGGCTCGGAGCTGCCGATGTTCAGCTCCGTTTTACAAAGAGGACAGTTAACTTTGGGCTTGGCCGGCTCCGGGGCGACCGCCGGCGCTGCGACGGGCTCCTGCTTCTGCGGCGCTTTCTGCAGGTGAGCCGGAGTCTGCTGATGTCCTTGCGGCCCTTTTTGATGATGAGCTGGTGACATTTCCTGTTGGTGGGGCATGGCCTGCTGCTGCTGCTGCTGCTTGGGGGCATGTGGTCCACTCATTGGACCTCCCATTGGTGCTTGAGGGCCCCCCATTTGGCTCGGTGGATAAGGGCCTCCCATTTGGCTCGGCGCATGAGGACCACCCATTTGGCCTGGCGCATGAGGACCCCCCATTTGGCCTGGCGCATGAGGACCCCCCATTTGGCCTGGCGCATGAGGACCCCCCATTTGGCTCGGCGCATGAGGACCCCCCATTTGGCTCGGCGCGTGAGGACCCCCCATTTGGCTCGGCGCGTGAGGACCCCCCATTTGGCTCGGAGCGTGAGGGCCGCCCATGCTGAAGGGTTTGCTGCCGGGTGCCCCTTGCTGCTGTCGGCTGTCGGGGGTTGCATTGCTGAACACCACCTTGCCTCGCGCAGGGCTCGGCTGGGTGGAGGCGGTGGGTAGAGGGTCAACATTGATCAGGGTACTGGCCTGATTGAGCAGCGACGCCCCGAAGCCGAAGAGTTTGGTCAGGCCGTCCTGGGCGGGAGGAGGTGCCTGACTCTGAGGTCTGTGGGCCGGGGAGGATCCAGCACTTCTGGTCTGGTCGTGGTGCCGCGCCATCGACTGGTGCATCGGGGAACCGCGGCCCAAATCGGGCTGGGAGGGTGCTTTAGTCAAACCAGGAAGGGGTACAGCTCCAGGATGGGGAATCCGAGGACCGGCCGGCTGGCTGGGGCCTCCTGTTGGACCTCCAGGAGCTCCAGGACCTCTCTGGGCGTACGGGTCAGACCTCATGCCCTGCTGAGAGGGTCCTGTCTGAGACTGGGGGCCGCCAGGGCCTGGATGTCTCTGTAAGCCCGGGGAGGCGTGAGGCTGGGTCTGGGACTGCGGCGGAGGGTACGACTGGGGCTGCGACTGGGGATACTGCTGGGGCTGCGAGTACGGCTGGGCCTGGGAGTACGGTTGGTTCTGGCCGTAGGGCTGAGACGGAGGCTGCTGCTGCTGCTGCTGCCGCTGGGTGGGCTGACTCTGTGCCAAAGGTTTGGGCTGTGCTGCTGCTGCTGCCGCCGCCGGCTGTGTTGGCTGAGGTGCGGGCTGCTGAGGCTGGACAATGGGCTTGGCTTGGTGGGACGGAGAGTGAATCTGCTGTTGGCTCTTGGAGCGAGGCGTGGTCATATCAATGCCAAGAGCTCTCTGCATCTGACAGTTCAGACACAGCCATTCCTGGACCTGCAGACAGGGAACAGACAGACATGATGTTACTTTAACCTTTTAGCATCCAGTTTTAGTCGGCGCATCATCACATATACGAGCATATATCAGCCACTGGAGCTACATCATTATGCTAAGTAAGAAGCCAAGAGTGCTTCGCGACTCCTCTACGTCATTTAATTCACAAAAATCCTGCCTCACAGATCATGCATCTTTGGGATCGCCATTGGAATTCACATCAGGTCTCTATGGGTCCAGCAACCCCAGCAGAACCAGACATCCACACCGACTGGGTCAGGGAGGTTAAAGGAGTTCTCGTCCCTGATGTAGCCTTGGTACAGTCACCATCGCGACACGATTCATTCATTTTTTTTTGTCCTCCCAAAGCCGATTGCTATTGATTACTTTAAATATCACTGCTGACTCAGACAGGATGCACATCACCCAATGCACATGCACTCCATCCATCCATTCATCCATCCATTCATTCATTCATTCATTCATTCATTCAACTTCAAAGCCGCAGATGAGTGGATGACACATGGAGCACGGCTCATCTTTCTTTTCCGTGGAAAACAGGAGTGCAGAGAGAGAATAGTGGTAATCAGGCAGAAATGGAGGCACAGAGAAGGTAAATCAAGCACAAATTGACTGCAACGCTGAGTGATTGCCGAGCTGAAGCTGCAAACCTGAGTGCAAAAGGCATCACATCTCCTGATGAAATCCACACAGGTAGCGCACACAAACAGACAAACACACAGCCAAACCAAACGAATACGCAACACGCCTCAGCGTCTAAAAATAAAAATAAAACATCACCCCCTCCTCCTCCTCCTCCTTCCTCCTCCTCTTCTTCTTCTTCTTCTTCCTCCAGATGAGAGCTGATACTCCCTCGTGTCCGGACCTTGCTTGGCTCTCTAATTTCTCCCGACTGCTAAAAAAAAAAACAAAAAGCCACACAGCTCCTCTCTCAGCTGTGTGTCAACCTGCTCTAACTGTAGCTTTGCATCCACCGCCGTGACCCAGCTGCCATAAATAGTGCTGTTTTAGCTCCTCTGCAGCTACACAGCAAAGCCAGTAAATCTCTGCACGTTTCAAGCGTTTCTCTCCCATCCCCTTTTCCTACCCACAATGCACTGCACAGATGTACTGTATCACCCCGCCCGCTATCCTCTAAACCCCCCTAATTTTTTTTTCTTCTTCTCTCTCTCGCTCTCTCTTTTTTTTTTTTTTTTTTTTGCAAGGTGTTACAGGACGACGTTGCTCCTTCAATTTGAGGGGAAGATGTAGTAGGAAAAAAAATAATAAAATCCTGCATCAGTCACGTATACTAACTAAGCAGTTCCTCCCACTGTGCTGTCCCAGCCTGCTTTGCTGTCTGGCATTTTCTAGCTTGACAGCATCACTGATCCCATGTTCTGTTAACTCAGCGGCTACATCCATCGCTACAGCCTGACATCCTCCTTTTTTCCTCCTTAACATATTCCCTCTGTAGCCATCCCTGCCTCGCTTTTTCCACCCAAATCTTTTCTCTCTCTCTCTCTGATCAGGTTGAAAATTTAGGTCTCGTTCCTTGAATAGCCAAAGGAGATTTGAAAGTATAATTTTGCCGTGCAGGCTCCTCCTACGTCGGTGCTGCCATAATTACATCTGATGAAGATGGCGAGAGGGAGATGAAGAGAAGGAGATAGGGAGGAAGAGAGAGAAGAGGAGGGAGGAGGAGGAGGAGAGCTGGTTTTAATGAGTCCCTGTCTACTCCTTCTGCTTTATAAGCTACATCACAAGAGACACTTGAAGGAATGAGGGATGCAGCGAGGGATGGAGGGATGTGGAACGGAGCGGCGAGGAGATGTGGAGCGAGCAAACAGTGGAGGAGAAAGGAGTCAGCAGTTTTTCTAATCCGGGCGGCTCTTCGCCTCTCATCATGTCAGGCTTAATCAACAGCACAGAAAACCAGCTCCAGTGTGGTTAAAGCCAGTTTAGCCCAGCACCGCCGTAACAGGTGGGGGGGCAGGAGGAGGACTTAAAGGGCTAATTACACAAAACAAAAGAAGATTTTCTTGATTTACGCTGTGGTGAAAATCTAGGTTGTGTTTTTTAACATCGCTAACACGAAACACGGTGGTTTTTAAACGCTAGAAGGTATATTATGAGTGGAATAAGCTCCATGACTGAGCATTTCAACTGCAGTCGTGTCTCAATAATCCGACACTAAACGTAAAACCTTCTTTAATGTCGGATAGCAAGGCTGTCGGATTGTCAAGACGGAGGTCGAGATACAAGGAGGGCTTGATGCTGGAAGGCTCATTAGTTGTTAATTATTGTTCATAGTTGTTATAATAACTGGTAGGGCTGGTCCCAACAGCACTTGCTGGACTCAATTAATGATGAATATCAGAATATCAGGGGACACTTCCACCCTGGTGGAGCGCTCCAATGGGGTGGAAGTGTCCAGAACACAGAGGCAGGACTCTGCTGCTGATGCTAGTTTAGTTAGCGGTCACACTTCTGGGAGTGGCAGATACGCTCCACCGTTACCATCCATGTTCCGTAAACTCTGAGCATGCTCACTGCGTGTGACATCGTCGTGTCCTCTTCTGTGCATGCGGGACACTTTTGGGTCGTATGAAGTTCACACAGCAGATCACATACAAGTCGCATTGAACTGGAAACGTGAAGGAAGTCACAAAGAAATCCTCATTGAGCATCAAGTCCTGCAGTGTGAACGTAGCCAATCTGTGGGATTGTTCAGTCAGATAATACGCCGTTATCCTGATTGGTGTCATTAAATGTCATGTCGGAGTCAGAATCCAAGGCTGTCGGTATGTTAAGACTGTTTTTAATGGGTTCTGTTTGTTTTTCCTAAAAACCTGTCAGATAGCAAAGTTTAGGATTGCTAAGGGTCGGATTATCGAATCACAACTGTATTTCCAGTCTAAGAAACAGATTCCTGGTTTCACACGTAATAAACCCAAGGAACCAGTCCTGTCTACTTACAGAGTGTCGTTATTCTCAAAATCGATGTCCTGGTTTAAACATATGCTGCTGACTGACTTCAATACTACAAATTGCCATTATGTAGAGTAATTACGTTATCTTTTACGTCACTTAAAACTCATTTTTATAGGCGTGCTTTTATGTAATGTCAGTTATTTTTGTTTGCATTTATATTTTATCATTATGATTACTGTTGTTGTTGTAAGTCTATTTTCATTGCCTATTTTTAAAAAAAATTAATTTTAGTGTTGAAAATGTATTCTCCTTAACCTTTATTTATTTACTTATTTTAATAAAATTATTATTATTATTACACATTGCTGTATATTCTTATTATAGTAATATTTTATTTTTATCACCATTATTTTATCATCTATTTTTATTGTCAAATTGATTTTTTTAATTTTATGTATTTTATTGTTCATTTTATTTTATTTGACCCTTTATTTATTTACCTATTTATTTAGTTTATTTATTTACTATTAGTACTGTTGTTGTTATCTTCAGCCTTGTGTTTGTGCTTTTGCCTTCTATCTTCTTTTATTCCACTTGTTGTTTCCTCTACTTGGATGTGGCATTTTATTATTTTATCTAGTGCTG